ACTATCATCCAATGTGTGTTTTTTGTCCATTTTGGTGGGTGTGAAGTGCTGTCCAATTGTGGTTTGGCATTTTTCTAACTACTAATAAGGTTCAACATCTTTTCTTACTTTTATAGGGTAGGAGTCTTTTTCTGAAAAGAAAACTTTGTGTCTTTTGTTAGTATATTTTTTCTGTTGGAATGTTTGTCTTTTTCTTATAGATGCACAAGCAGTAATTGTACATTTTGAATGTTCTTTGGTTGGTTTCATGTATTGCAAATATCTTCACATTCTGTTTTGTATCGTCAGTTGAATAATAGTGACTTAAGTTTACTACTACCAAATGTATTAATCTCATTTGCAATATGTACTTTGGTGTCTTCAGTTCAGTTCAGTCGCTCAGTTGTGACTCTTTGCAACCCCATGGACTGCAGCACGCCAGGCCTCCCTGTCCATCACCAACTCCCGGAGCTCGCTCAAACTCATGTCCATTAAGTCGGTGATGCCATCCAACCATCTCATCCTCTGTTGTCCCCTTCTCCTCTTGCCTTCAATCTTTCCCAACATCAGGGTCTTTTCAAATGAGTCAGTTCTTCACGTCAGGTGGTCAAAGTATTGGAGGTCCAGTTATAGCATCAGTCCCTCCATTGAATATTCAGGACTGACTTTAGGATTGACTGGTTGGATCTCCTTGCAGTCCAAGGGACTCTCAAGAGTCTTCTCCAACACCATAAATCAAAAGCATCAATTCTCCTGAGCTCAGTTTTCTTTATGGTCCAACTCTTACATCCATACATGACTATTGGAAAAACCACAGCTTTGACTAGACGGACCTTTGTCGGCAAAGTCATGTCTTTGCTTTTTAATATGATGTCTAGGTTGGTCATAGCTTTTCTTCCAAGGAGCAAGTGTCTTTTAATTTCATGGCTGCAATCACCATGTGCAGTGATTTTGGTGTCTCAATAAGAATTCTTCTTGACTTTATAAATGTGTTCTCTATTGCAACTTCTATATATATCAAATTTCCATATTTGCCAGCTATTTTACTGGGTCACTCTTCTCTTGGTCTATCTCTGTGCTAAAACCTCAGCACCTTAGCCACTGCAACTTGATAATGACACCTACTAGGGCAAGTTCCCTCCTCTAACTCTTGCTATTGCTGTTGTTGCTGTGTTCCTCCTTTTTCTCCCCTCCTCCTCCTTCTACCCTTATACTTGCCTCTCTTCTTCATTCTTCTTCTGGAATACCTTAGTTATTCTTGGACTACTTACTGTCTTATATACATTTTAGAATCACCTTGTTAATTTCCATGAAAAACCCTGTTCAGATTTTAAATTCTATCAATTATTGAATCTAGCAATTATGCTGTAAAGAATTCACATCTTTCTTATATGAAATCTTTTCATAGTTGAACATAGTACATCTCTCCCATTTATTTAGAACGTCTTTCCTGTCTTCCCATTGATTTTTATCATTTTTAATTTAATGGGTCTTGCACATCTTTTGTCAGATTTATCCCTAGGGTTTTTGTGTGTTTTTTTTTTTTGTAGTTTTTAAAAAAGCTCTCCTTTGTAACTCTTTATTGCTAGTATATAGGCATGCTGCATTATTACTTGGTTCTTTTTTGGAAAGATATATTTCCCAATTCTTCGGGCTTCCCAGGTAGTGTTAGTGGTAAACAGCCCACCAATGCAAGAGACATAAGAGATGCAGGTTCAATCCCTGGGTCAGGAAGATCACTTGAAGGTGGGCACAGCAATCCACTCCAATACTCTTGCCTAGAGAATCCTACAGACATAGGAGCCTGGCGGGCTAAAGTCCGTAGCGTCCCAAAGACCTTCACCAACTCATCACCACCAAGAGCTGGAGTAACATGTATCAACGTGTACTGAGTAAATTAGGTATTCAGGCTGATGTTGAGCTGTACACAATATCATGGCTGTATTAGTTACTAAAATATTGAAATATTTCCAATAAAGGACACCCCCTGACTTCCCTGCTGGCACCCTGGCCACCCTGGCCTCTCTCCATGGACAGACCCAGACTTCCCAAACTCCCAAACATTACTAATGTGGTTTAACATCTTATATTTATAGGACAGTATAGTTGTAGTCTCTTTATATAAAATGAATTTTGGAGTATTCTGCTAATTTTTTCTATTGGAATTTTTTCTTATTAAGACAGGCATTAATTGTATATTTTGAATGCTCTTTGTGGGTTTTATTATTGCAATATACTTTCACTCTTTTTTTTTTTTTGAGTACTATGGTTTTTAGTTTTTTTGTTTTTTTTTTTTTGACTTTCACTCTTTTTTGTGTCTCTCTCCAAAAGGGGTGGGGGTCCTTAGGCCCTGCTTCACCGGAAACGTAGATGAGTGTTCTGATTGCTCCATTCCTATGCCATGTGAGTTGTTAAAAATTTTGAAAGTTGCCTTGTACGCTCACATGCCAGTGCTAACGTAACACCAAGGGTAAAATATTCATCTGAGTGGTTTCTCAGTCAAGGTGCAGAGAGCTCAGAAAGAGGAGATAAGCTCTGGGGATCAAGGAGGGGGTCAAGAGATTTGAACTGTAACCAAGGAGATGCAAGCCAGCACCCACCTCTGGGGATCCCCACCTGAATCTCTGCACCTCGCCTCGCTCCTCCCCTTGGAGTTCCCACAGGCACCTTGATCACATTTCAGACTTTAAATGCCCAGTCTGCTCTCTTCCTGACTCCATACTGGTGGAACAGCGTCTCCAACCACCTTGCCCCCAACAGTAAGAAATTCAGAATTATCCTAGACTCTGCCTTACCCATAGTACTGCTTACCAAGATCTGTCAATTCTATGCCATTAAAAAAAAAAATCTCCTAAATATGATCTTTTCTCTATCCCGATTACTCCGACTCCTGAGTTTTTGAATAGTTTCTTAGTCAGTCTCTTGGCCTCCAGCCTCTCTTGTTTCTCCAGCCCCCCCCCCCCCTGCACCGCTACCCACATTAGCAGTCCCACCTGGCCCATGAGCCTACTCTGTTTCCTCATCTGTGGAGAGGAGTATGTGGAAGCCATCTGCCCTGGCAGCAGGGAGTGTTTTGTCACTGGTGCAAATATAAAGCAGATTGTCTTTGAGTTAGGTTTTATTATTGTGTTTAAATTCCTTGCAGACAATGCACCCCTTTTTGCCTACACCTGCCTGGCCAGCTGTTCTCATCTGCTTCTCCTTGGCATGAAACTGGAGACGTGATCTGCCCTATAGAGCTGCTGTATGCTATGCTTAGTCATTCAGTCATGTCAGCTCCTTTGTCCATGGGGATTCTCCAGGCAAGAGTACTGGAGTGGGTTGCCATGCCCTCCTCCAGGGGATCTTCCCAACCCAGGGATCGAACCCAGGCCTCCCGCATTGCAGGCGGATTCTTTACCGTCTGAGCCGCCCAGGAAGATAGAAGGTTAAATGAAACAATACTTGCTGGGAACTTAGCCCCGGCCCCTGCACATGGTGAGCATTTGGTCCATGTTAACCATGATTAAAAATAACGTTATTATTTATTTCTTATCACCTCTGTGATTCCTGTTTCTGTAAAACCTTTTCTGCCTGGCCTCAGTCACTCCCTCCCATCCTCCTGAAGTCCATACTCTTGGCAGCAAACTATTGACTCTGCCTTCACCCCACCAAGTTCTTCCATGTTCCCCTACCTTTGCAAGTGCACTTTACTCAGCCTGGAATGTCCCCCTTCTTCTCCGTGGGTTCATCATTTAAGATCCAGCTCACAGTCAGGCTTTCTGTGACGCCTTCCTCAAATTATCCAGACAAAAAGGATGCTTCCTCCTGCTATGCACCCAGGCCTTCTGTTCCTATCTCCTCTTTAAACCCAACCTGGCTGGAGTTCCTGGAAGAGAGAGACCCTAGTGCTTATTTTGGTGATCAAATTTGTAACCACAGTCACCAAAATTGTGCCATAATACTGGCTTAATACTTGTGGACGTTTTGCTTATTTTGTTTGATTTTATTAGAAGGAATGAACAAATGAATAAATGAGAATAGTTTGACTTCACCTAGACCTAGCAAAAAGTTTGGGTAGTGATAGTGTTGGTCATTTGGGGTAAGCTAATATTGGACTCTTCTTTCCATGCGCCAAGAAAAATATTACCTAACAATAGAGAACCTGTCATCCTAAGGAACTGAACTCAGTAACTGAAGGAAAGCCTATATTTAAGAGCAGGGCGAGTGTGAAGCAGGTCAACTCTGTCTTCGCAGCTGTCCCTGAGAGGGCGCTGTTCCCAAATCAAACCTCCAGAGGCCGGGAATGAAATACCAGAACGTTCCCACCGAGCATGCATCCCTCCCTTCCCATGCAGCGAGCGGTCGCGGGTCCCCAGTGGGGCCACTGCCCACAAACATGGCGGCGCCCTGCTCAGCTTCTCCCCGCCGGGGCCGCAGGGCCGCGCCAGCTTTGCCAGTACTCGGGGACTTCCTCCGCGAGCCGGCTTCCTGCACGGCTGGCATTTAAACCCGCGCCTGGGGCTGCGGGCTGCGGGCTGCGGCTGCAGATGCTGAGCTGTCCGCGGGCTGGGCAGCGCCGCCGCCTCCTCTGAGCCTCCGGGGCGGGCGGGAGCAGATTCTGAAGCATCCTTTAACTGCACCGGAGCCAAAGTGGGAGAGAGCTGGGGGAGACCGGGGGACCCGGCATCTGACATTTTAATTGCAGGTTTGACTTTTTTCCCAAGATCGCAGCTCTCCCGCCCAACCCAGATATTTTTCCTCTCTCCGGCCTTGATTGCTGAATGAAGCCGGGGCTGGGCTTGGTCCCAGGAGCAGGGGAAGAGCGCGTTCGCGGCCCTACGCCGTCGCCCCGGGGACCCCCGAGCCTTGCGTCCTGGCCATGGTGCGGCTGAGCCCGGCGCTCAGGTGAGGCGGCGGCGCGGTTGGGAGCACGGCGGGTCCGCCCTGCGGGACACCTTCCCCGAGAACCCGGGATCGCCGACTCCACGCCCTCCTGCTGGGACTGTGCACCGGGGGCGAGCAGGCGAGCGGTGGCCGCGATGTTCAGCTGGCTGCGCTCCGACGACCGCCGGAGGAAGGACCCCGAGGTCTTCCAGACCGTGAGCGATGGGCTCAAGAAACTCTACAGAACCAAGCTGCTGCCCCTGGAAGAGCACTATCGCTTCCACGAGTTTCACTCTCCCGCCCTGGAGGACGCCGATTTCGACAACAAGCCCATGGTGCTGCTGGTGGGCCAGTACTCCACCGGGAAGACCACCTTCATCAGGTGAGCCAGCCAGGGTCCCCCAGCAGCCCACCCAGCTGCCCAGCGTTAGACCCTCTGCTCACTCCCGATGTCCCGCCTGCCTGGGGACAAGAGATAAGTTTTTCCTTGAAATCTCTGAAGAAATCCTTGTGTGGGGGTTGTCCAAATCTTACCCTATAATTTCATTGGATGGTCCCTTGCTCCATCCTACCCAGCACCTCTCCACTGCACTCAGCCCATGAAGTGTAAAGTTCAGAGCCATCCCTATGCTGCCCATTTTATGGATGGTGAAACTGAAACCCAGGAGGCACAAGTGAGAGATATCCTGGTCACAAGAATACGTTAGGCTGGTGGGGGTGTCTGACACCCTCTCCTTGTAGGGACATGCACTCGATGGTCAGTACCACTTTCCTTGCCTTCTGAAAGCTTCAGTCACTCACATGGGGGCTTTACAGTTGCAGCTGAGGAGGTGGGCCAGGGAGCCTGCTTGTCCTTCTTTCATCGCTTTCCTTTTCCAATCAGAGCTCCTTACAAATATCTCTTAGAGACTGGAGACAAGCAGTGTCTAGAGGCAGAATGCTATTTTGTTTCCTGTTGATCTTCGTGGCTCAGTAATCATATTAAAGTCTTTTGGAGGTGGACAGAATATTGGCCACTGTCTCATCCAGCTCCTTGACTTGGCAGGCAAGATAACTGAGGCGTAGAGAGGTTAAATGAATTGTCCAAAGCCATATAACAGGATGGGAGGTTGACCTGGGATGCGGTCCTAGATGCATGGGAGGAGATGGTTGGCTCAATGCCTGTAACTTTGAGGGTGAGTCATCCATCCCCTTGAATTACAGAATCCTCAGGCTGTGGGGATCCTCAGGAAGTCAGCTGTCCACCTGGCCTTCAAAAGAAATCCACTTATTGTCCACCAGAACGATAAGGACCTTTCATATCTTTAGAAGACAGGCTTCTATAGCCTTCAAGGCCAGGCCATCTTCCTTGGCCTCATTCACACATTCACAGGCCTGAAAGCTGTTGAGGGTGCTCTGTGTTGAGTGGCCCTCTGTATTGAGAGTCAGGCTTATAGAAAGTGGTGATGGGTTCAGCTCCCCCCTGCCCCCGCAGAGTCAATGGTGCTCATCTCCTATGGAAGGTTTCAAAGCAGGGATGCTCTTGTTTCCATTCATTGACCTGCAACATGCAAAGCACTGTGCTTTGTTTGGTGGAGAGCAGAAAAGTTCACAGTCTAGTTCCTGATTTTCTAGATTCAAATTTTCCCTAGTGCTAAGCTTTTAACATAAGCCTTCTGGGAGCAGGGCACACACCATATTAACATGGCATGTCTGAACGGGACATCAGCTGAGTTTTTCCTTGTGGGGTGGACAGCCTTGGACTCACTCAGCTTGAGAGGCTGAGTGATTTCTGAAGTTAGGTACCCAGGGGGGTTGTTGGCTTTTGGAGGTCTTATATTGTTAGAACTGCAAGGACCCTTGCAAAGAATCTAATCCATTGCTTCTTAACTTTTCAAAAGGTCTATGGACCCAATCTTTACAAAAATGCACCTACATCTCAAATTTACATATAATTTTAGGAGTCCAAGCCTTGGACATTAGGGCAAGAACCCCCGATCTAATGCATCTCCCTTTTTTTGTTAAACGCCTGTTGCTGCCAAAGGCACTTCAGAGCCTCCTGGTTCTGTGCAAGGTTTCCTTTGTAACATGCATCTTCCACCTGGCCCCATGGGAAGCACAGGCCATTTACAGATGGCTCCTGCCCGTCCCCAGCCCTCTGGACACACCTTGGTTATAATTCCTAGTAGGTTGTTTAGAACTCCTCCTTCCTGTGGCACCAGCACTTACTGCCTAGCCCCCCGGGGCCTTGCGCGGGGGTCTCTGGTACAGGAGCCCCCAGTAGACATTTGCAGAATGGGAGGGGAGGTGGGGAGAAGCCAACATCCCCGAGGGCGGGATCCCGGAACAGCAGACGTGTTTAAGTGCCTCTTGTCTGAGATACTCTCCTGGCTTTGCCTGAGTCATGCTGGCTGTTAACTGGGTCTAAGAAAGTGGCAAAGCCGAATTGCTATAGATTACTGCTTATCTGAGGGAGACAGGAAGGCTGAGAGAGGCAGAGCCCTCCAGTTTCTTATCCTCTGAGTACAAGCGCTCTCCCTCCCCACTCATGTCAGTAACCGAATTTAGCTCGTGCATCAAAAGCTGTCTCCCTTTGAGAGAGAGGATCCCAGCAGGGGCGGAGGGGTGGCAGGACAGGGAAGGCCTCCAAAACCAAATTACATATTTTCCTTTCTTCTCATTAAATCCACTGAACAGTAATTTTTTTAAAAAATTGGAAAATGCAGACAAGAGTAAATTTGAGGAAGATGAAAAAATGCCCCATCATCATCCTACAACTCAGGGGAAACCATCTTAAATATTTTATATATAGTTCAGTTCAGTTCAGTCACTCAGTCGTGTCCAACTCTTTGCGACCCCATGAACTGCAGCACGCCTGGCTTCCCTGTCCATCACCAACTCCCAGAGCTTACTCAAACTCATGTCCATTGCCCTGCCAGTGCAGGAGACATAAGAGACTTGGGTTCAATCCCTGGGTGGGGAAGATCCCCTAGAGGAGGACCTAGCAACCCACTCCAGTATTCTTGCCTGGGATATCCCCATGGACAGAGGAGCCTGGTGGGCTACAGTCCATGGGGTCGCAGAATCAGATACAATTGAAGGGACTTAACAGCAGCAGCAGCAGCACAAATATATAACATATGTATATAATATATGTATATGTGTATATAATACATATTATGTCTTTCCAGTATTTTTAGCTATTTTATAACACCGTTGAGGTCATGCCATAATGTAATTTTGTATGTGGATTTATTTCACTTATAGCATGAACATTTCCCAAGTAAAATTTTAACTCTCTGTAAGCATTAGTTTTAAAGCTGCATGATATTTTACTGTATGTATATGCAGTTATTCATTTAACCAATCTACTTTTTTTGAATATTTGAAGTTGTTTCTAATTTTATTTTGTGCTATTATTGTAGGACCAATCTGACTATCTCTGTGCATAATACTTTTCCACGGATTAGGCTGTTTTCTCAGAGATTCCCAGAAGTGAAATCACTAGGCCAAAGGTTGTACAGAGTTTTGGTTTGTGTTGTTTTTTTTTTTAACTTTTTCTGACTTTTTAATCTTGGTAGTAAGAGTCACATTTTTGAGTTGCTTTTCAAAAGAGTCAGTTGATACCACAACCCTTCCCCAAAACAGAGAAGGTTCCACTTGAGGTGACTAGGAGCACCTGGGTGCGGAATCCAGCCTGCCTTCACAGCTGCACCCTCTCCCATCCCCGCTTCTTGCCTTGGGTATGGCCATTCACATCTTGTCTTCCAGCCTGAACCTGAGAGGGACCCTTCCCTTGGAAATAAAGACTTGCCTCTTCATCCCCTGGCCCTTGGCCTTCTGTCTCCTGGTGTCCATCTCCTTTCAGTTACATTTCCTTGCCTTGGAGTCTATTTCTTGTCTCAGGAAGAACATGCAGAAAAGGACATTCTTCTAATAACTAATTAATGTGCTATGATCTCTGCCTGAAATAACTTCACTGGCCTCAGGCCCAGCAACCCAGGGTAATAAAATAAACAATAAATTGGCCGGGTGGCTGCTTCCTCCAACACAGGCTGCCTCTTCCTAGTACAGTAGCTCTGTGTCCTTCTGGCCTGGCAGCCTCTCCTCCCGCCTCTGCTGTTTTTCTCTCTTCATTCTTCCTCACTCTGGCCTGCAACCTCAAGTCCCTCCTCCTTTGCACCGTTTGGCCCCCTGGTCACAGAGATGAATGGCTGGCTGCCCCAGGTGCTATAAGACTCAGGATCGCAAGGCCTCAAACAGAGCCTCGCTGGCCTGTGGCCACGCTGTAGTAGAGGGCCTGGGCTCTGGGTGTGGGGCTTGCAGCTGCTGGAGCTGAGTGGCCTGGGTCTCCATAGGGAGAGCTCAGCTGGTCTTGGGCATCTCCCAGCCCTTCTATAGCATGACTGAGCCTCTACAGTACGAACGGGCACATGGTGGGGAGGGGGCCGGGTGGCTACTCAGCTGGTCCTCTCAGCCTCCCCCTTTTCAGGGATCTCTTGGCATCCTCCTGTAAAGGTGACTCAGCATTTGCCTGTGGTTGTACACTCTCTCGTCACCTCTCTGGCATCTCTGCTGCCCAGGCCTCATAGCAGCAGCATCCCCAGAAAGGATGATTCTCTAGTAAGCTGAAGGGCTAGTGGAGGGGCCCCTTTCCATTCCAGTAGACCTACTGTCTTCTGCCAGGCCATCCTGCTAGCCACAGCCCCAGCAGCTCCTCACTCTTGTCACCCGTCTGAGGTCCATGGACATCCTTTTCCTGTCAGGGCGCTGATCTGCTAGTCCCTAAGTGGGACTAGGTCAACATCTGCCTACCTCTTACAAGGCCTGAGTGTTACTCAGAGGAGCAGAGGGCAGAGCATTGGTCTACCTCCTGATGTCTGGCTTAAGATCTGTCTTGGAGTCAGGCACAAGCTGGAACCAAGATTGCCAGGAGAAATATCAATAACCTCAGATATGCAGATGACACCACCCCTATGGCAGAAAGTGAAGAGGAACTAAAGAGCCTTTTGATGAAAGTGATAGAGGAGAGTGAAAAAGTTGGCTTGAAACTCAACATTCAAAAAACAAAGATCATGGCATCCGGTCCCATCACTTCATGGCAAATAGATGGGGAAACAATGGAAATAGTGACAGGCTTTATTTTCTTGGGTTCCAAAATCACCGCAGGTGGTGACTGCCAGCATGAAATTAAAAGATGCTTTCTCCTTGGAAGAAAGCTATGACCAACCTAGATAGCATATTAAAAAGCAGAGACATCACTTTGCCAACAAAAATCCATCTAGTCAAAGCAATGGTTTTTCCAGTAGTCATGTATGGATGTGAGAGTTGGACTATAAAGAAAGCTGAGTGCCGAAGAATTGATGCTTTTGAACTGTAGTGTTGGAGAAGACTCGAGAGTCCCTTGGACTGCAATCAATCAATCCTAAAGGAACCAGTCAATCCTAAAGGAAATCAGTCCTGAATATTCATTGGAAGGACTGATGCTGAAGCTGAAACTCCAATACTTTGGCCACCTGATGTGAAGAACTGACTCATTGGAAAAGACCCTGATACTGGGAAAGATTGAAGGCAGGAGGAGAAGGGGATGACAGAGGATGAGATGGTTGGATGGCATCACCAACTCGATGGACGTGAGTTCGAGTGAGCTCCAAGTGTTGTGAAGGACAGGGAAACCTGGTATGCTGCAGTCCATGAGGTCACAAAGAGTCGGACACAACTGCGTGACTGAATGGAACTGAACTGAGACTTAGGTGTGGAGGCCATCAGGAGAAACAGGACTGGGAGAAGGACCTCTGGGGAAGGGCTCATCCCACTCCCACTGACAGGAGAATGCAGCCACAGGAAGAACATGGGAAGCTCAGCAGAACCTAAGCTCCACCCGTTCCAGCCAGGAGACCTTGTTAGGAAGGGTCTAAGCTTTCTGAACCTCAGTGTCCCTATCACTAACATGTGAATAATGGCAACCACCTCATAGGGTTATTTAGGCCAGCCTGTATCAGGGGCAGTTAGGCAAGCCAAGGCTAGTAGGAGGTCTGGCTACTGGTCTGCCTACTAGTCTCCTTTGTGCTTGGGTCACTTTGTCTCCTTGTAGAGGTTGCTGTGTGCCAGGGACAATGGTGACTGCTCCATGAAGCAAAGAGCTGACTCAAACCTCAACTGGGCCATTAAGTCCCCCATCTCTTACCTCACTTTGTGTCTTTGGGGTGATTTACAGTCTCCCTGAAACCTTGTGAGGCCACCCAGACAAGTAGTATTGTCTTAACCCCAGTTTAAAGCTGAAGTACAAAAGGTTTAGAGAGACCAAAGATACAGATATATAATGCAGATAGGGTTCCCTGGTGGCTCAGACAATAAAGAATCTGCCTGTAATGCAGGAGATCTGGGCTTGATCCCTGGGTCGGGAAGATCCCCTGGAGAAGGGAATGGCAACCCACTCCAATATTCTTGCCTGGAGAATTCCATAGACAGAGGAGCCTGGTGGACTACAGTCCATGGAGTCAAAAAGAGTTGGACACAACTGAGCAACTAACACTAACTAACCTAACACAAATACCTATAACACAAGGCAGAAAGTGATGCGTGCCTTTAGTGTCAACCTCAAGATATGCAAATTAAGAGCTCTGTGTATTTTCATGGAGGTGCGAGGACCCTGGATTTGGAGTCCGTCCAGGTAGAAATGCACTGGGTAGTTATAGACATGTGTTTTCTCTAATTATTATCTGTGCTGATGTGAGCCCATGTCTGGTGTAGCCACTGCTTTTCCAAAACTCATGTGTGTCTTTGCAAAACCTTCACTCTGCCCCCCTGAGCTAGTAAGAAACCCAGGATTAGCCCCACTTTATAAAAACTGGAGAAACTGAGGCAGTGGGCTCTGGAGGGACTTGTCCAAGGTCACATCTGCAGTGAAGCAGCCACCCATCAAGGCACATTCCCTAGCTGAGCTGAAGCATCGGGTCCAGCCCAGCCACGGCCTCGGACAACATGGCTGGTGGCCCCCGTCCCTCTGTTCCCCACCCTGGGTGCTGTCCCAGCAGCGGGAGGGATGGCCCCACTGTTGCAGAGGCAGGGGCCCCAGAAGCACACCAGGTGGATTCTTGAGTGCTCAGGTGCCAGTAAAACAAGCCACATGCTTAGATTGCCAGCCAAGCAGGACACTGAAAAATGAGGGAGATGATGTTAGGAAACAGTTTGCTTAGGAAAAATAGTCCTCATGGGAAAAACCAGAATTGCATTTGCCTTCCTTATATCCATTTTATTTCTTTTACATTGGAAAACCTTCTCTGCTCTTTGGGCCTCTAAATATTTGTATTTGGCCTTGAATGGGGGCAGTCTCCATCTCCATTTGCTCCCTTGCAAAACTGAAATAATTCAGCCATCCTGCAGCACTTCTCGGACCGACTGAGTGGAATCATTCAGGGAAGGGGCACAGAGGAGCACCTGGCTCCCAGTGGGTGCTCTGCCCGCCAGCCCCTCCTTGTTCTCCTGCTTCCCCGTCTCCGCTGCTCCCTCCCGGGCCTGAATTAACTTTTCTTTTTTTACCCTGCTGTGGGAATGTCTTTGCCTGGCAACAGAGGCGATCTGTATCTCTCACCATAGAGAAAGCAGCCATGAGAGCCCTCAATAGGTTTTCCTTTCTGGACACAGTGCTGGCTTTGTTAAGGGGGCCCTCGGGGCTGCAGGTCATACCCAAATGTCCCTGAGAATTTACCCAGCCCTGGGTTCTCTGCTTGGCTTGACTGCATCCCTGGATTTGCTTTGGGATTCACTGAACTCTGTGTTTCTAAATCCAGGGTTATGTGGTTTTAGCCGAAGGGCTCTTGCTGGGCCACTTGAGGCTCTGGAAACATCCCAGGAAGCAGCCCTGGCTATGCTAGGGAGCATCACCCTTTGTTCCACCCCATGGAGCCCACCAGGCTCCTCTGTCCATGGGATTCTCTAGGCAAGTATACTGGAGTGGGTTGCCATTCCCTTCTCCAGGGGATCTTCCTGACCCAGAAATCAAACCTGGGTTCTCCTGCATTGCAGATTGTTTACCGTCTGATCCTGCAACAAATACTTTGATCTTTGGAATGGTGATCTAGGTGCTAGGTACTGGTTTACGCACTTAGGGTCTATAACTAATTTAACCCTCAGAACACCCAGTGAGATGGATTTACCTCTGAGGCCCATTTGATGTAAGGATTATAGTGCTCACATCAGAGGAAATGTGAGATGAAACGAGATAATCCATAGACAGTCTGGAACGCTGTCTGGCACAAGTGCTTAATAAATCAGGACAATGGCCTCCCATTTTATAGAGGAAAGTGCCAAGGTTTGCAGAGGTCGAGAACCTTCTGAAGGTTAAAGAATCCAGGTGTGCTGGTCCCAGGCCCTGAGGCTCCCTGCCTCTCCCCTGAGGCTCTGAAGGAGAAGGTGTGCTTGAGAAAGAGGAAACCCTGTCCATGGGCTGCTGGGGTGATACATTCTCATCACAGCCCATTCAGAATGGGCCTCTGATGGGAGGAAATCCTGTCTTCACACCCAGATGTTGGAGGGAGATGAGGGGCTTCACCAACCTAAAACTACCGGTGTAGGTGGGTGGCCCCCGGGCAGCATCTCCTCTGTGGCAGCCCGCCTGCTAGCTCCTTGGGGAGCGAGCCCCGTGGCAACTGAACTGCCCTGGAAGCACAGAGTAAACTAACAGCTAAGAACACAATGAGATGACCATGAGCTGGAAGAAACCCCAGCCAGTTTCCCAGGCTGCCGCCTGCCGGGCAGAGGGTGGACACGGGGTGGGGGGGCGGCTGGCAAAGAGCATTTCCTTAGGGTAGAGACAGTTGAAGAGCAAAGGATTTGGTGTTAGACTGATAAGGGTTTGGGTTCCTGCTCCGCTGTTAACTCTTTAACGTGGAGGAAGCCCCATAACACTTCAAAGCCTTGGGTTCCTCAATACAGCTGTCCCTCATTCCTTGGTGTCCATGGAGCGCTGGTTTCGGGACCCCACCTCCCTTGCAGATGCTGAAGCCCCTTCAAGTATAAAATGGCACAGTACAATAGACCCTCCGGATCCGTGGGCTCCACATTCAATGGCTCCGACCAACCACAGAATTCTACCCGGGTTCTCCACGGTTGGTTGTGTTCTCAGATGTGGAAGGCTCGGATACAGAGACCCCCAACTGCACATACTAGGGCTGCCAGAAGGAGCTACATTCTTGAAGTGATGAGGGTGATGTCTGCTATTGTCAGTGGTGCTATCAGCATAATGACAGTGTCCAGAGCAGGTTGTCAACCCCAGCTGCAGCTAGAATCAACTAGGGAGTTCCTGAAAAAGACCAGTGGTCAGGGCCCCATCCTGGACCGGCGGGTCAGAACCCCTGGGCTGGACCCACGTGCAGTGGCTGAGGCCCGCGGGCCCAGGAGTCCCCAGGCTCCCTTCCCAGCCAGCAGTCTCTGACTTGCCATCTCTTCTCCTAAGGACTCCTTGACTTTTCCCTCCAGGCGTGAACATGACCCCTTAAGGTTTAGGGGGAGGGTCTTGGCACACGCTGAGGGCTCACTCAAGGGTCTCTGTTTGTTGGGCAACCCACCCCTTAGCTTCTTGTCTGTCATGGCCCCTGGGACTCTTCTCTGGCCAGTCCCAACCCAGGGCAGCCCTGGACTCCCCTGCCTGCAGTCCAGCCTTAAGCAATTTGGGCTCAAAGCTGTTCTGAGCTCCTGCCAAAGAGTCTGGTTTTCCTTCCAGCTTATTCTCTTCATTCTCTGGCTCACTGTGGGCTCCAGAGGGGGCTGTGGAGAGGGGCGTTAGCCTCAGGCTCTCAATGCTCAGGTTTGCTTATCCCACCCACCCCTCCAAGTCACGGAGGTGAAAAGAAAAGGACCAAGGACAGATTTGATATTTTAAGTTCAACTGAAATCCCACTTCCTCCCAAAGGTCTTTGGATTCTGCATCCGTGAGAATCTCTCCCTGCCATGAAATTTCCTTGATTGCCCCTCCACCATGACTCACCCCAGCATCTGCCTTGCTGTGGGCAGGAGGTGTTGATCTGCCCACAGCATCCCTGCATTATGACTGTTCTCGCTTCCACCAGGTATCTCCTGGAACAGGATTTCCCGGGCATGAGGATTGGGCCAGAGCCAACCACTGACTCCTTCATTTCGGTGATGCGCGGCGAGGTGGAGGGCATCATCCCCGGGAACGCCCTGGTGGTGGATCCTAAGAAACCTTTCAGGAAACTGAACGCCTTTGGCAATGCCTTCTTGAACAGGTGGGTACAGAGGGAACGCACGTATCCTGGGTGCTCTCTTTTCTCCTTGGAGTATGAAAGGGCAGGGCAAGGTCTTGGGAGACCGTGTATCTTTTCCAGACCTGGAATCTCTCTTGATTGTCCGTTTCTTAGTGGGAATGAAACCCCCATTGATTAGGGATATGGAAGCTGCTAACACTGGCATGATTTCTCCTGATCAAGTTGGGGGAGGGATCCAACTAGTTAAACTCTAATCTGCACCTCCCTCCAGGAAAAGAAGAGAGGGCTGCCCTCTGTAGTTCCCAGCTTTTGCCTATCCTATGGAAGGGCTTTTCAGCCAGCTAGAAGGAGGCAGAGGATGGTTCCTCCTGTTTTGAACATTGTTTTTACTTGGTGGCAGGGACCCTGCACTTAAGGTAGAAGCCCTGGCTTTGATCACTGTCCCTCCTACTAAACTCACTGTGTGACCTTGGACAAGTTCCCTCCCCTGAGACAAGTCAGCCTGTAAACACCAGGGTCACTGGGTCAATTTGAGTGGAAGAAGCTCTAGTGGCTGCTCTGCAAGCTGACCCGGGCCTGCCCGTTACTCTGCTTAACTAGAGTGCAGGCTGATCCCCTGATCAGACTGATAATGTAGATCCACACCACAATTTTGCATGCATATCGCATTTAAAAAATTTTTAAGCTACTTTCTATAATTGAAGGCATTTAGAGTAAAGGTAAAAACTATGGGCTTTGGGTTAAGAACCCATCTAATAGCACCATGCTCTTAGATAACCTAACTGGTCTGTGTCTCACTTTTCCCATCTGTAAAATAGGATAAGAGTAAATGTCCTCCTCCAAGGCAAGAGGACTTTGTGAGAAAGTTGGCATTTGACACAGATATTCAATGATGAGTGAAGTCACATGCAAAGGGTTAAAAAAAGGACATTTCAGGCAGAGAAAACTGAAAAAAAAAATGTGTATATATATATATGTGTGTTTGTGTATATATAAGCAGAGAGGATTCAAAGAACGTGGCTTAATTCAGGAACACTGTGACTTCTCTGCTGGAGCCGCCACAGCTGAGTGACAGATGTATACATGAACTGTTGGCTGGGGACCAGCCAGGCACGTCCCCTGGGAGGAAAAACAAGGGGCAGGGCAGGGCAGGGAGTTGGGGAGGCCCTTCCATGTACCACCAGCTTCACTGCAGCCATGTACAGGATGGCTACACCCCGGGTGCCTGCTTCTCATCCTTGTACTGCCCAGGGGTCCTATTTCTCCCCTGACATCTCCCTTCCCCTTCTCTGGGGGTGTCCCAAGCCTTTTCCAGGCACCTCAGCCTCCTCTTGCAGTGGATGACCTTGCTTCCCATTCTAGAGAAGATGGAAGCCCGTATCCATGGGTTTCCTGCAGTTGGTTTGGTTCCAATCTGTCCCTAAGTGGAGTCTGTTTGCATCGGTCCTCCTCCTCCATGCAGCCCAGAGAACTGCAGCCTCTTTTACCCTCAGGTCTGCCGCTTCCCCACCCCCCAGCCAAGAACCCCCCACATCCAGCCATCTTCCCAGGGACAGCTCTGTCAGTTACTCCTCTTCCTGACAGCTCTGCCTTCCCTTGGCTCCTTTACCACAGGGAACTATCTTCCTGAGAACCCTGCAGCAGGCCCTACTAGCTCTTACCCCCTCGCTTTCCTTCCACAGCCAAGTTTCTGGGCTTCACCTCCTCACTCATCCCTGTCCCCCACCCTGTGGAACACGGCTTCCCCATCACAGCTGCCCATGTGAACATTGTCCGTGACCTCTGTGTGATAAGCCGTGAGCACTTTCGGTCCTCACCCCACCCCATCTCTCAACCACCATCCCCTCTCAGCTCCTTGGCCTCCTCCTATCTCCCTGGCAGATCCTCTGCAGTCTCCCCTGTCCCCCTTTTGCTCTGGCCCCTATGACCTGGTGTCCCCCTCAGCCCCCTGCCCGTCTCACTCCATGCTCCTGGCCTGGGTGATGCTCAACCAGAGCCCTGGCCCCAAACACCAGCCCCATGTGCATGACCTCCTGGTCACCAAGGGACAGCAGCCCTGCTCAAACTGGTTTCAGCAAAATGTGGAATTTATTGAGGAATGCTGGAGTGTGCCTTAGAACCTATGGACAAGAATCTGGCTGGGCCCAAGACATAGAGGAAACCATGGGCTCTAATGGGACAGGGGCCACACCATGGACTATCTAGCACAGTGCCAGAAAACAGCACATGCTTTGTAAGTATTTACCAAACTGATCTGGAAAAGCTGACAACCAGCATATCAGATTGTATCACTCTTTTGCTTAAAAAGTTCCAATGGATTTTTGCCACCCTTAGTATAAAATCCACATTTCTTAATGTGGCTTTCAAGGCCCTCATAATCTGGCCCCTACCTCCCTGTCCGGCCACTTCTCTAGCTGCTCCAGCCTCTGGTTCTCATCTCAGTGATAGTGTCCCCTGGCCTGGTGCCTACACACACACACAGACACACACACACACGTACGCACACACACACACGTACGCACACACACACACATGCTCCCCTCCCCCCTCTAATTTCCATGTGGCATCTCCACATGCTTCTATTAGTTTCCTAGGACTGCCAGAACAAATTACCATGAGCTAGGTGGCTTTAAAATAAACATTGACTCATAGTTCTGGAGGCTAGAAGTTCAAAGTCAAGGTGTTGGCAGGGTCATGCCCCCTCTGAAGCCCATAGAGGAGAGTCTTTCCTTGCTTCTTCCAGCTTCTGGTTACTCCAGGTATTTTGTTTGTATCAGAATAATTCCAATCTCTGAGTCCATCTTTACATGGCCGTCTCCACTTTGTGCATGTCTGTATCTTCACCTAGCTACACACATACACATACACACACACACACATGCACACCCTGGCTTCCTGCCTGCACCCCTGTCCTCCCAGCAAAGCTGGTCACCTTTTGAGGTCTCACTTCAGGTATTGTCTCCCCTGTGAGGCTTCCCAGACTCTCTTTCCCATGCATCCCCCTCCTCACCTGACCTGCATCTCTGCAGCCACCTCACTGGAGAGCAGAGGCTCCTTTACCTGTCTGTTCCCAAGACTGTGGGACCGTGAACTGGAACTGATGGTCAGACACCTTGTTGACTTCGACCAAAAATGGCATTTAAGAAAGAAGGCTTGAAGTGAGAAGGATCTGGCTTAGGTTTACCAGTTTTTATTTGGAGACTTTGGGATATAACACTGGAAATGTTTTCTTGATTAAGGCTTGAGAAGGAAATGGCAACCTACTCCAGTATTCTTGCCTGGGAAATCCCATGGATAGAGGAACCTGGCGGACTACAGTCCATTGGGCCACACAGAGTCAGACACGACTGAAGTGACTTAACATGCATGTACACTGTCCTAATAGCAATGTTTGGTATTTAGACAGCCTCTTAAAAGCCCACCTAAGCATTCCTGCGTGGTATGGCCCATTCTTCAAGTCCAGTTGTAGTGTCTCCTCCTCCAGGAAGTCTTCCTTCTACCTTGGATCTCCTGAGTCCTTCACGTGACCTCTTGGGGGTGCTGGTCCCATGGCACCCATATCATGGTTGTCCTTGTGCACACCCCCACTATTCTACCAGACTGTGCTCCTGGGGGGGGGACAGGGATCGAGGGTTGGACATCCTGGTGTCCCTACCAGCAGGGGCCACAGACATAAGCCCCTTAGAATGCCCCCAGGAGCTTCCTCCAAGTACAGATCCTGGGTCCACTGTGGCGGCCGCTCTAACTTGGGGCTGGGAGTCTGCATGGAAAGGTGGCTGAGCATCGGAACCTCTGCCCAAGGCAGGAGAGGTTGGTATGGGACCAAAACGAGGGTGCCTGAGAGGCAAGGGCAGAATAGCGGCTCACCACGGGTCTCTTCCCACCCGTGCAGGTTTGTGTGTGCCCAGCTGCCCAACCCTGTGCTAGAAAGCATCAGCGTCATTGACACACCAGGCATCCTCTCCGGGGAGAAGCAGAGGATCAGCAGAGGTAAGTGACCTGGTAGGCTTGGCCCTGGCTCTGTGTTGTGTTCTTTCCAGAATGTTCTCTGGCTTCTATACCAGGATAGAGGTTCCTGGGGCCTTGCTGTCTCCTGATGAGTCAGTGCTGCCTCATGTGCTATGTGGGGTGGTCCTAGGCTACCACCAGAGTTCAGGTCCATTGTTACTCAGGAGCAACTGGCCTCAGGCTTCTCATCTGTGAAATGGACATATCAGCGTTAGCCTTACTCACCTCATTGCGTTTCTTCCTGGGCCAGACGTTGGCTTGTTCTGAAGGTCCTGCTGTCCCTGCCCTGGGAGCTGGCAGCTCTGCAGGGGAGGCAAGTGCAGGCTGAGGACTTCAGCTAATAGCGTGAGGATGACAGTGTGCTTTGAGGTGTGAGAGCAGGGAGCTGGGTACATGAGAGCACTTGAAAACAGCTCATTCCAGCAGATGTGGGTGACTGCTCATTGACGGAGGTCGCTGGCATGGGAGGTCAGGAACCTGAACTCAGGAGCCAGACCACCAGTGTTCTGAGCCTGCCTCTAACACTTCCTAGCAGGTTGACCTGGCAGGTTTCTTTCCTTCAGCTGCCTCATCTGTAGAGTAGGGGACATAATTCTATCTACTTTCTAGGGTTGTTTGAGGATTAAAAGAAAGAACGCAAGTAAAAAAACCTCCTCTGTCACGTAGCAAATGCGCGGTAAACATGATTTCTTACCAGTCATCACCACCACCAGCATCATTGGGTTTTTCCTAACTCTAAAGCACTAGATGGATAGTGCAAAAGTCTTAAAGCTCCTGACTGTGCTCCCGGCCTCTCCAGCTACACCAGGCTGCGTGCCCCAGGCGGCCCCTACCCCTTCTGTGCTGATGCTGTATTTCTGGTAAGAAAAGCTGATGAAGCCATGCCCACCCCAGTCCTGGAGGTGGGAGCTGGGCAGGAGCCAAACCAGCACTCAGAAGGCAGCTTCTGGGAAGGGAAGGCTTTGCACAGGCAAGAGTTCTGTGGGTGACAGAGAACTGACCTTCGGTGACGGCCCGCCTTCCTACCACATGTGCCTGGGGTGAGGTGCATATATAGTGATGCAGGGGCGAGGCGGGCATAGAACCCACAGCCCCAGGGCGGGGGGGGGGGGGACGCGGAGGGAGGGGCGTCTCACTCCTTCCCTCTGGTCTACCCGCCTTTTCAAAGCACTCTGTTCAGGGCCCCATAGTGGGGTGCAGGGAGCAGCTTGGGCAGCTGCCTTGCTTCTATTTGTTTCCCTAATTAGTCCCTTCCTCCTGACCAGTCCCTACCATCATTAAGGCTTCCTCTAGGCTTATCCTGAGTTTAGGCCTGAAGGGGATTTACACAGACAGCCTGTGTCTTCTCCAGGAAGAGAGCAGACAAAGTTCTCCCCGTGAACTCCCCAAGGGTTGGGTGGCTACATTCCTGTAAGTGCAGCCTGACTGGGGGTCCAGAGAGGATTCCAGCCTTTGGGTTTCCAAGGGCACTGGACTGGGAGTTCGGAGCATTGGGTTTTAGAACCTGTGGGTCTCAGTAGGTCACATTTTCCCCTGAGTCATCATGTCCCTGTGAGTAACAAAGGGTAACGATACCCATCACTTGACCTCATGATGTCCACAGACAGTAATGGAAACTTGAACATCAGCTCTGGAACTGGATCACAGTGAGCTCCTTTCTTTCATCTTTATCTGACACCCAGGGCTGCCCTATTAAACAGCACCAGGGCAATCTATCAATACAATGGCCTTCCTTGCAGTTGTGCAGTGCACTGCTTGTGCAACTGTACATGGCAGCCCTGCTTCTAGAGATGCCTGCCTTCCTCAGCTTCTGTTCCATTCCATTCTTTTCCTATTCCTCTACCTTTTCTCTTGACTTTTTCTTTGGACCTCAGTGGCTGCTCTACAGTAAACTGAGGGCTCAGTTTTCCTGCCTGCCCTTCCTATCCCCTTCCCACCCCATGCTGACTACCACCAGGTCTCACCCCACTTCTGGGAGAAGTGATAGCCCAGTGTGTGTCTCTGCAGACCAGTTTGATCTCTGCCTGATCCTAGATTATAAATGCAGCTGCTAGCAAAGTAGCCTGGGATAAAAACAAGAGCTGAGAGCTGAGCTGCCAGTCCTTCATCAGCCTGGGGCAGGGCTGACCTCAGCACTGCACAGAGACCAGGAAAATAGGGGATGGGATTGGATACCCTCAGATATCAGGGGCACCCCAAATAAGGAAAGTTTCTAGTATGAAGACCCCCCATCCTTCACAATCAGCCATAGAATTCAGTAGTTCAGTGTATACCTATATACATGTAACCCCACTATCTATACTCATCACACCCCTCCTCCACACACCCCTCCATGCACTCACACAGGTGTGTGCACAGAACCAAACACTCTTCTGTGGCCTTTTGCCTGGGCTCTCAGAACTTTGGGTTTGGCCACAGCACAGATTCAGTGCTTCTTGCCTTCCTGCATCCCAGGGCCAGGATAGTCCATGGATAGCCCAGGAGGCGCGCACATGACTGAGGTGGTGAGTCAAGCCTGAAATCCAGCCACATTCCACTCACTGAGCCTCATGCCAGGTTCAAGGCTGTGTCTCACCAGGAAAACAGGGCATCATCATCACATTTACACTGAGCCTCTTCTGGGCCGAGGCCTGGTGTGCCACTTCTGCCAGAGGCCCCTCCCAGGCCTCAGACTTCACAGGTGGAGCACTCAGGCGCCAGGCCCAAGCTGGGCCAAGTGTGGTCCTTGGTGAGGGTGTGCCCCCTCTGTCCGGATCTGGAGATGCCTTGGGTGTCTTGTGGGAGAGCGGAAGCAGGGACATCCGGGAACCTGAACCCGGGAAGTCCCGGCCCACACTCGTCTCTGGATGCAGATGCTTTGGGGTGGGCTGGAGAGGGGCAGGGGAGGCAGTTGCTGGAAGTGACAGGATGTGTCCAGCCCGGGACTCATTACTGGGAAGAAGTGAGGATGCAGCGGAAGAGGAAGGCTCCAGAAGCCTGAGTGTCCTCACACTTGGGAACCACATTTCCTGTCCACCTCCCAGCTAGAAACCCCCACAGGCCCCACCTTAGAAAAGCACCCCCATGGTGCACTGCACACGTCACTCCCAGCGGACCCCATCCTGTGCAGGCGAGCCCAGCAGGGCCGGAGCGGGAAAATACTTGCCCAGGTCACACAGCCGGGATCGGAACTCTGGTCTCCTGCTTCCCTGTCCAGTGGCTTTTCAGCACATTAGCATGGCCTGCCTGCCCAGGAGGAGCTCAGAGAAGAGGAAGGGGGCACTCTCTCCTCTGCAGTTTTCCGCTGGGGACCCCGGAGGGTCAGGGCCAATCCTCACAGTCTCCCATCCCTGGCCTGTTCCTGGCACCCTCACTTAGGGGCCTCCGGGTCCCCGGACCACACACCGTACATACACACCTGTAGGGTTGTCACATACCAGGGTGGAGGAGCAGAGTCCCGAGTCCCTTCAAAAGGTGCACGGACACCTTGTAGCCACCTGGGAGGCCTGGGACAAGGCTGCTGAGCTGCTTTTCAAGATAACTTCTGGGAGGCATGTAGTGTGGCCTTTGTCATCTGAACTGGTCCCACACTTTGCAAACTGATACCTTCTCATTTCTCTTTCTCTAAGATGTCTTTAAATCTTGACAGATTCTGGAACAGGACCTTTTATGGACCCACCTCAAATAAGTGCCTGGTTGCAGGGCTCAGCGCCCGGAGCTCCAGCCTTGCGGGGCTCTGAGCCAAGAAGGGAACACAGAGGGGAGTAAGGATCTGGGTCCTAGCCCCCAGTTTACCACCACCTGGCTGTGTGAGCTCAGGCGAGCCCTTTCACCTCTGTGTTCCCTGTCCCTTCCCTGTTAGATGTGTCTGCCTGTCTACCTCCTGGCCCATGGAGAGTTATGAGAGTCAAATGAGACTGTGAGGCTGAAAATACCAAGAAATGTGCTGCCTTGTCAGCACCCTTACACTGCCTCTCAGCTGTGAAGGAAGCTGGTTGATGACTAAGGAGTTGCTGCACTTATTGTTGTTTGTCTCATTGATTTCCTCCTGCCTAGAATTACTTAGAAATGCTTTCTTTCCAGTGCTCTGGAGCCTGGGGTGGGGCGTGGGCCTGCAGGCTGCCCAGGCTCTGCTCCGGGGGCCTGCTCACCCACTCTCCCAGAGGAGGCAGATTTGCTACCTGTAATTCCAGGACGGCCAGCTTCACCATCAGTCTTCCAGAGCTTGAATCTCCCACCAACCACTAGTCCACATTTCATGAGCCCCTGGGCTACTGCTGAGACTTGAGAGCTCTGTTGTGGGGCTCTGAGCCGTTCCCAGGACCACTGAGGGAAAGGGGGCTCGTCACCCCAGATGTCATGGCAGAGCCTCCAGAATTAGTTCTGGGCCCTTCCCATGGCTCTCTTGTAATCATGGTTCTACCATTGATCCCTCACCAGTCAGTCATTTTTATCCCTGTTTTACAGCTGAAAAACTGAGGTTCAGACTTGCCTAAATCCACACAGAAACTAAATGGGAGAGCAGCCCATTCCCCTTTCCTGAGCAGGTCTACTCCGTGCTTTTCTGATGCTCCCATTCCTGGATCTGCGTGATCTCAGTCTACAAAACTACTTAGATACCCAGCCTGGAGCCGGCGAGCCTCTATAGCCAGGAGCAGGGAGGCTGAGCTCCAGAGAGAGCCGCAGAGTCATTGTTTGACTCTCATTTCCTCGCAGCCACACCTGGGGAGGAAGCTTTCTCCTCATTCCCCTGCTGGTAATTTGATAGCCAGCCCTGCCAGAGCAAGCAGAGTTGGCAAAAGTGGAAGGATGAAGAGGAGGCCTCGGTGCTTCTGAAATTCTAGAAAGGGTTTCCAGAAGCCATCTGCCTGCCCTCAGGCAGGAGCAGCCTTCATATGGGCACCCAGGACATCGAAGACAGCAGCCCCCAGCCTTCCTTCCCCCGATTAACAAGCAAAGAGACCAAGGACCAGAGAAGGAAGGCTTCTTGCCCCAAGACACACAGCAAGTTGATAGCTGAGCGGAAACTAGAGGTGGGCGTGTCCAGACCAGTGCTCCTCAGGTGACCCCTTCAGAGCACACCCAAGTCATGGAATCTCGGGCTTGGAAGAAGCTCCTCATAGAGGGGCAGAGCCATAGGAGCAGCCAGGGTCACAGGCAGTCTCACCTGCATCCTCGTCGTCGACTGGATTCTCACAGCCAGCCTCTGGCAGGGTCAGGTGGGTTCCAATTCAGAGACCAGGAAACTGAGGCCCAGGGATGGCTTGGTCACTGTCCCTGGGATGTAAAAGGCAGACCAGGTCTCACATTTTGGTTCTTAGCAGCACGTGCTTATAAAGTCCCTACTGTGTGCAGGGGACCGTGCTGAGCGCAGGGAAGCAGAGGAGGATGAGCAGGCCCTGCCCCGCCAGCTCCCAGTGCAGCGGGGGGATGATGCATCCTGACGGTTCCCTGGGTCAGCTGAGAGGCCGGCGCCCGCCTGAGGGCACCTGACCCAGCCGTGGGGACAGGCATGGCCCTGTTCTGGCAGCACTGGCCCGATGTCGTCCCTCTCCTGCCCCTCCCCCTGCGGGGTCCAGTCAGGCTTCTGGGAGTTGCCCCGCCCACTCCAGGTCTTTGCAGCTGAGCCTCCTTGTACAAGGCTACCATCCTTGTGGACTGGCGAGGGCTCAGAGGCCGGGGGCCTCTTCTCTGTAGCTTCGCTGGCCCCTTCGATCTCCCTAGCCCGTGGAGGGGTGGCTGGAGAGCTGGGCTTAAAGCCAGAAAACCTGCGCTCTGGTCCTGGGCCCTGGGCAGTCTCAGTGGCTTGCTTTGAGCCATGTCATCAAGTGTCCAGGACTAGCCACTCTGGCTGCCCAGCTGACAGTGAGCAATTGCCACCAGCAGCCACATGAGGTGTGCTGAGCAGTGAGGGCTGAAACCTGGCACACAGGAGGGAGGGACATAGGGAAGGGGCAGCCTGCTCTTTGCAGCCACCCTCCCCATAGCCGTCACCACCACCGCCAAAACCTTGTCCAGCTAGATTTGGGAGCGGGCCTCAGCAGAAGGGCAGAGGCCTCTGAGCCCCACTGCCCTCCCCAGCCACGGCGGAGGGCAAGCTTACTGGTTCCAGGCACCACAGCAGCAAGGTCGCGACCTGTGTTTCCAGGTTGTTGGGGCACTGGGGCTTGGAAGTCAGTTTGCCTTGATTTTCTGAGCCCTCTGCCCCCCTCCTGCCTATGACTCTGAGGGGTTGCCTTCTGGAGGTGAAGTGAGAGCCACCCTCCACCTGGCTGTGCTGAGGATGATTAAAAATAGCCAGAGCCAGCCCTTGGAAGGGATGGGGGAGGGAGTGGGTGCAGGCTGCAGGCCCCCCTGGAGCAGGCGGGCAGGGAGCTCGGGGCTCAGTGGAGCTGCGAGTCCCTCCTGGGCACAAGGAGGGGAGTGGGAGGCAGGGGGCTCACAGGTGCAGGACCACCGCCCACAGGACCTGTGTAGGGTGCCCAGGGCCCTGTAGCCGGGTCTAGTCCTGAACAACCCCTCCCCAACACACACACACACACATACACACACACCAGCGATTGACTCTCCCCTCATCTCTGAGTCTCTCCTCTGGAAAGTGGGACTGTGCCTGCCTCAGAGGGTGGTGTGGGGGTGAATTGAGGTCGTGATGAGAACTGAATCGAAGTCTGAGGCTCTCACAGTCCCTCTGGGGGATTCTGCTGCACTCACACTGAGGACCTGGTTACAGGCGAGCAGAGCTGCTTGCCTCTCACTCAATGACCCTCCCTGGTCTCTAATCTTCCTCTGTGAGGCAGGGAGGGAATGGCTGGCTTTTTCCTTTTGGCTCAGTCTCCCACTCAATGGTGGCAAAGAGCTCTGGGACCCCAAGGTCTCTGCCTGTAAAACCCTGTGGTGTTGGGAGCCAGGGTCTTTGAGCCCACCCAGAACCTAAGGAAGGGCTCCTACTACCCTGCCAGTGGTGTGGCAGCGGGGGGGCGACAGAAGGCCCAACACCTCCATCCTTATCCCAGCGCTGCTACTCCTGGGCTGTGTGCCCTCGAGCAAGTCACTTGACCTCTCTGAGCCTCACATCCCCATCATTGCCCTTTATATGGAAGAGGAGACTGAGAGGTGAAGCTGCTTCCTCTCTAGCTGCTAGGTGAGCTGAGCATCTCTGGTCCTTAAAAATTTATTATCTAGATACTATTCGTCTGCCCATTTATAGATGGAGAAACTGACTCAGAGACAGTTGGTAACTGGCTCAAGGCCAAATAGTGAAAAGATGGAGGAGCCAGAGTTGAACCCAGATCTGACTCCCGAGACCATGTTATTTCCACTGCACCGCCGCCTCACTACAAATCCCTACCCTTCACCCCAAAGGCCCCACCCCCTAACTCTGCTCTGCCACAGGGTACGACTTCGCTGCCGTCCTCGAGTGGTTCGCCGAGCGGGTGGACCGCATCATCCTGCTTTTTGATGCCCACAAGCTGGACATCTCCGATGAGTTCTCAGAAGTCATCAAAGCCCTCAAGAACCACGAGGACAAGATGCGAGTGGTGCTGAACAAGGCCGACCAGATCGAGACACAGCAGCTGATGCGGGTGTACGGGGCCCTCATGTGGTCCCTGGGCAAGATCGTCAACACGCCGGAGGTGATCCGGGTCTACATCGGCTCCTTCTGGTCCCACCCGCTTCTCATCCCAGATAACCGGAAGCTCTTTGAGGCTGAGGAACAGGACCTGTTCAGAGACATCCAGAGCCTGCCCCGAAACGCTGCCCTGCGCAAGCTGAATGACCTCATCAAGAGAGCCAGGCTGGCCAAGGTGAGGCTGCCTCCGGGAGAGGGACAGCATGGGCGAGGCCAGTGGTTTGGGGATGGGGTCAGCTGCAAGGGGAGAGGGCTACTGCCTGCAACCCTGAGCTATTGTCTGCCCACGTGAGGATGTCCAGTAGTCACTGCGTTGTGAGTGTCAGCCATGCCCACTCGGAGGGGTGGGCAGGGTAGCGTGGTGGTTACGATGACATGCCCTGGCATCAGATGGCCAGATCAGAGTCAACTCCATAATTTTTTTTTAATTTATTTATTTATTTTTTTTTTTTTTTAATCACAACCATAGTGTATCTTTTTTTTTTTTTTTACATGTATTCCCCATCCCGGTCCCCCCTCCCACCTCCCTCTCCACCCAATCCCTCTGGGTCTTCCCAGTGCACCAGGCCCGAGCACTTGTCTCATGCACCCAACCTGGGCTGGTGAACTGTTTCACCCTAGATAATATACGTGTTTCAATGCTGTTCTCTTGAAACATCCCACCCTCGCCTTCTCCCAGAGTCCACAAGTCTGTTCTATACATAGGAGTCTCTTTTTCTGTTTTGCACATAGGGTTATCGTTACCATCTTTCTAAATTCCATATATATGTGTTAGTATACTGTAATGGTCTTTATCTCTCTGGCTTACTTCGCTCTGTATAATGGGCTCCAGTTTCATCCATCTCATTAGAACTGATTCAAATGAATTGTTTTTAATGGCTGAGTAATATTCCATGGTGTATATGTACCATAGTTTCCTCATCCATTCGTCTGCTGATGGGCATCTAGGTTGCTTCCATGTCCTGGCTATTATAGACAGTGCTGCGATGAACATTGGGGTACACGTGTCTCTTTCAGATCTGGTTTCCTCGGTGTGTATGCCCAGAAGTGGGATTGCTGGGTCATATGGCAGTTCTATTTCCAGCTTTTTAAGAAATCTCCACACTGTTTTCCATAGTGGCTGTACTAATTTGCATTCCCACCAACAGTGTAAGAGGGTTCCCTTTTCTCCACACCCTCTCCAGCATTTATTGCTTGTAGACTTTTGGATAGCAGCCATCCTGACTGGTGTGTAATGGTACCTCATTGTGGTTTTGATTTGCATTTCTCTGATAATGAGTGATGTTGAGCATCTTTTCATGTGTTTGTTAGCCATCTGTATGTCTTCCTTGGAAAAATGTCTGTTCAGTTCTTTGGCCCATTTTTTGATTGGGTCATTTATTTTTCTGGAGTTGAGCTGGAGGAGTTGCTTGTATATTTTTGAGATTAATCCTTTGTCTGTTGCTTCGTTTGCTATTATTTTCTCCCAATCTGAGGGCTGTCTTTTCACCTTGCTTATAGTTTCCTTTGTTGTGCAAAAGCTTTTAAGTTTCATTAGGTCCCATTTGTTTATTTTTGCTTTTATTTCTAAAATTCTGGGATGTGGGTCATAGAGGATCCTGCTGTGATTTATGTCGGAGAGTGTTTTGCCTATGTTCTCCTCTAGGAGTTTTATAGTTTCTGGTCTTACATTTAGATCTTTAATCCATCTTGAGTTTATTTTTGTGTATGGTTCAACTCCATAATTTACTGTGTGATCCCAGCCTCAGCAAGGCTCTTAGTTGCTCTGTGCCTGCTTCCACATCTGTGAAATGAAAGGGTTAGAAGACAACATAGAATAAAACGGAAAAGCCCTCATCACAGTGCCTGGCGTCCTCACAAGTGCTTTGTTCATGTCAGCTGTTGTTACTGTCTTCTCAACAACATCATCACCAGAATTACCATCCCTGTTACTGCCTTGCCCTTAACCTCCTCACAAGCTCCCCTTTCCCCACGATCTGGTGAAACAGCTTAGTGCTATAAGCAATGGAAGAGAAAGAGGATAGAAACAAATTATTTCAGAAGTAGGAGCAGGAGGAGGGATTTGTGGGGAAAGATGGGGTGAGAGGTGCCCTGGAGGGAAGGAAAGAACTTGATCTTGATGGTCAAGGAAAGAACTAGAGGTCTTGATCTGAAGGCTTCTCTCTGCCCCTGTTATTCAGGTTCACGCCTACATCATCAGCTCTCTGAAGAAGGAGATGCCCTCCATGTTCGGAAAGGACAACAAGAAGAAGGAGCTGGTGAACAATCTGGCCGAGATTTATGGCCAGATTGAGCGGGAGCACCAGATCTCACCTGGGGACTTCCCCAACCTGAAGAGGATGCAGGTAACCAGGATCTGGGGGCTCCAGGAAAGGGACAAGTTGGCTGAGCAGCTCAGGCTTGGAGTAGGCCACCCTTGGATCTTCTGGGGAAACTCTTCTCAGCCCAGAATCAATAGGCAGGCAGGTGGTCCTAGACCTGCCCTTCCTGCTGGGCTGACACTGGTCCAATAGGTGCCAGACCTGGGCCCTGGGAGAAACATGGAGCCCTGGTGCTCCCAGTGGGCAGTGGTGTTAGAGGGGGCTCTGATACCTTACCCTGTCCCGGTCACCACTGGTTTGGAATCCCCACTACATCAAGTGAAACAGGACAAGTCACCTGACAAACATTCTCTTGGCCCTTCGTTGCTTAAGTTTACTGCTGAGATCTGCCTTGGCAGTGATTTGAACATACACCACTGAGAAGCAGAAGTTTGTACAGGAGTTTGTCATCTTTGGGGTGCACCATGGGCACCTCTCTTGGGCCAGGGTCAGTCACACATAGTTTCGTATGTCCCCCAAAACAACCCTCTGGGGGGGGCATTTCATTCCCCTTTCACAGGTGAGCAGACTGAGGCTTACAAGTGTAATTAACCTGCCTATGGTTTTAGTAATGTTTACATAAGCTGCAAATAGAAACCCCAGGAGCTGTCCAAGGTCTAAGCAAAAACCTACCACACCCTGCTAACTGGATCCTCTCTGACCTTCTGTCTCTTGTCTACATGCTGAGGCTACAAAAGCACCACCTTATATGGATACTGTGAGCATAAATCAGATTAATATTTGTAAGGCAGTTAGCATGGCCTGGCACAGACTATGCTGTTTAAATGCAGTAGCAAGTTAGGTGAGATTTCACCAGTAGAGGAGGCAGGGAGATGACCACAAGGAACCTACCTCTGCATGATTTTTGCAACTTCCCATGATTCTGTAATTATTTTAAAAGGAAAAGTTTTCAAGAATCAGGGGATTAGAAAAAATAGCAGATGTAGTAGTAATATTGCTTTTGCTCTTGTTGCTCAGAGGGTATCAGAACATCAGTGCAGTCCCAAATATATGCATTTTTGCTTTCCTACCTAGTAAAAGAAAAAAGAAAAACATAGTCGTCCAGAGTATGCATTTGTTCATGTATCCATTCGTTCCTATAACTATCCACATCGAGCCAGTCACTTGTTTCAGAATTGTTTTCACATAATTTGGGTTTCAACTTTCAGTTTCTCTTTCTGTTAAGAATTTAATGATCTGTAAGCAAACTTTGGGGAAGATGACATTTGAAAGGGATCACATGACTTTTTAATGTGAGGAATTCTTTTGCAACACAGATGGTTTCACCTTCTTGCTTGTTTGCCCACCTGATGTCAGGTTCTGTTAGGGATGCTGGTTCAATATGTAAATGACTGCACTGTGGGGACGTATGTGTGGGCTGATGGAGTACTCATTGTGACCCCTGGAAGACACTGGGACCCCTAGTTGGGAGCCCACAAAACACACCTCAACATGGACAGGCTGGGAGAGACAGAGACCTGGGGAGGTTGTGCCTAAGGGCAGGAGAAAGAGCTTGTCTGTTCCACCCTCCACACCCCTCCCAGCCCTACCCTGGAAGGGAGGTGAAGATGCCCAGGCTTACACTTGGTCTTGAAATATAGCCATGGGTGTTTTCTAAATTTTTGTGTAGTGTGCTTGTTCTGAGACTGTCCCCTGTAAACTGGCCTCCTCCCAGTGTCCTGAGATTGCTGTGGCCAAAGCCAGGGTGGGAGCCGAAAGCTCTCATCTTGTCATTATAGCAGCCAAGGAGAATCTGGGGATGTTTGAGACCTGGGACCTTTAAAAATGGCAAAGACATGCAAAGCAGAACACATTTCTTTTACCATGTAGTGTGGTGGTCATGGGAAGGCAAGGAGGGGAGCTTTTATAAAACCTGCCTACCTGCTCCTGCCTCCTGAGTCAGAACCCTCAGGGAAAAGCTGATCATTGAAAAATCTCTCCAGATGATCCCTCAAGCATCCTGATTAAGAACCACTGGCTTGGGAATGACCTTTGGCTTCTACTGTGATTTATTTCTCATTGCCTGTACCTCCCTTTTTCCTTCCTGAATGGTGATAGAATGTGATTTTCCACTCTCAGAAGGTCACAAGGAAGAGAATGAGCTCATGTAGTGGAGTGTGTTTTCAAGTGTAACCCTTCTTGAAGTAGAGACCCACATGACTCAGTCTCAGAAGGGTGGAGCATTCAAGAACCACTCACTGTTCAATCAATAGCCAAAAGGAACTTAGAAATTTAATGACTGTTGTCCCTTGGTATGCACATGGGATTGGTTCCAGGACCCTTCACAGATCCCAAAATCCATGGATGCTCAAGTTCATTATGATATAAAATGATGTAGTATCCACAAAAGCAGAGCTCTCAGATATGGAGATCTGACTGTATTTGCTTCCTAGAACACTAAAGGAATCCAAACAGATCAAAGTGAAGTGAAAGTCGCTCAGTCATGTCCAACTCTTTGCAACCCTGTGGACTATACAGTCCATGGAATTCTCCAGGCCAGAATACTGGTGTTGGTAGCCTTTCCCTACTCCAGGGGATCTTCCCAACCCAGGGATCGAACCCAGGTCTTCCATTGCAGATAGATTCTTTACCAACTGAGCCAGCAGGGAAGCCCAAGAATACTGGAGTGGGTAGCCTATCCCTTCTCCAGAGGACCTTCCCAACCCAGGAATCAAACTGGGGTCTCCTGCATTGCAGGCAGATTCTTTACCAACTGAGCTATCAGGAAAGCCCCAAACAGATCAAACCAATTGTTAAATCTCTTTCTTCTCCAACCCCTGCAATTAGCCTCTCTCCTGAAAAATCCACCAAGAGCCAATATGCCTTTTGTCTCTTTCTCACATATCTTTTCTGGGCCCACTGTCTTCTGTCCTCACCTTTTTTCTCTCTCTCTTCCCAGGACCAGCTACAAGCCCAGGATTTTAGCAAATTCCAGCCCCTGAAAAGCAAGCTGCTGGAGGTGGTGGATGACATGCTGGCTCATGACATTGCCCAGCTCATGGTGTTGGTGCGCCAGGAAGAATCCCAGCAGCCCGCCCAGATAGTGAAGGGCGGAGCATTCGAGGGCACCCTCCATGGCCCCTTCGGGCACGGCTATGGGGAGGGGGCCGGGGAGGGCATCGATGATGCTGAGTGGGTGGTGGCCAGGGACAAGCCCATGTACGATGAGATCTTCTACACCCTGTCACCGGTGGATGGCAAGATCACGGGCGCCAATGCCAAGAAGGAGATGGTGCGCTCCAAGCTGCCCAACAGCGTGCTGGGCAAGATCTGGAAGCTGGCCGACATCGACAAGGATGGCATGCTGGATGATGAGGAGTTCGCACTGGCCAACCACCTCATCAAGGTCAAGCTGGAGGGGCATGAGCTGCCCAATGAGCTGCCCGCCCACCTTGTACCCCCCTCCAAAAGGAAGGCCGCTGAGTGATGGAAGGTGGGGAGGTCCAGAGCAGGCAGGTGTTAGAGGAGATGGGAGAGGTGATCTCACACACACACACACACACACACACAGATGCTGAGACCGGCGATCTCACACACACACACACACACACACACACACACACAGATGCTGAGACCGGCACTGCAAATAGGAGGGAACAAGGATCCCCAGGTCTCCAAGATACATCTCCAAGTGCTCAGAATTGGCTGAAGCACAGAAGTACCCAGAGTCCCAGGAGTCACACCTTAGTCTCCATCCCTCTTTCCCTCCTTGGTCCCACTGCCTGGAAACGCACCTTCTCCTGTGGAGGCAGTTTACTTGGCCACAGATGGCCCACCCACCTCCAGATTCCCCATACCCAGAGCAGATGGAAAGGCTTTTCACTTAATAGACAATCCACTTTTTTCTATGCTTTATCCCCACCTCTTTGACTTGCTAACATGAAATCTGCTCTGGGGCCAGGAGATGGGAAGGGAGGGGGGCTTCTGCAGGGAGGGGCGTGAAGGGGGAAGCGTCCTCAGGGAACCAGGCCCCAGACTTGAAGAGACGTAGCTGCAGCCATGAGCCCTTTTCTTTCCCATGCTGAGGCTCTGACTGCCTCAGCAGACCTGGCTTTAAACTTGCTTGCACTTCCTTTCAAAGAATCCCGGAACCAGAGAGAGAAGGGGAAAACTTGGCAGCAAAGAAAGCAAAGAAACTGTCCTGTCATCCATTGCTCTTGTAGCCAGTCAACGGTGCTTTTATTCCACAGGTTTTGTGAGATTCCTGTTTTTCCCACCTGGCCTCTGTGTGGATGCTTGTACTTGACACATTTATCCACCCCTTCTGCGTGCCAGGAGCTGCGTCAGGCGCTTCATATACCTTATTCCAAGTTGTCCTTAACCACTCTCCAAGGAAGTCTGTGTCAGCCCCTCCCATTTGGGCCTGAGACTCAGTAGAGTTCAGGGGACCCTCCCAGGTCACACAGCTCACATGTGATGGAGCTAGGGCCACAGACTCTGCCCTCTGCTGTGATGATGCACAGGACCCCTGTGCTTCTGGCTAATGACAAGCTGTGAAGGGTTAGCTGAGCACACAGGCCCCTCACAGGCTCCCAGAGAAGGCTAGCAAGGGAGCAGGGCCAGCCAGCATTTGGTGGGCCATCAGTCTGGCCATCTGTCACAGCACAGAAGCAAACCGTGCCTTCTGGCAATGCGCCCCATGTTCCCAACCTCGCAGAAGCCCAACAGCAACAGCGGGAGTGTGAGCTGGCCTGTTGGGTGCTGTTTCCCTCTGACTCTGCTCCGCCTCCCACCCCACAGCCTGAATCATCCCCGCTCAAATGCAGCCTCCAACTCTTCTCCGGTGGGACCTCCTGCTGATTGTCCTGAAGGCCAGTTCAAGAGGTCTGAGGCTGTGTTCCCTGCAGGACCCACGACTGCAGTGTCTGGCAAATCCCCACCATCCTCGATGCCCTACAGCCGCCCTTATGATCTCTCCCTTGGCTTGCTTTGTGGCCACAGAACCAGTCACTTTGTATGCTATGCTCCTACTGTGATGGAAAAGAAAAACAAGTATAAGTTATTTTGTATCTATGTTCAGACTATATAGAGAATATTCTATGTATCTACAATGTGCTTACTACTGCAGTGCATTTGTCATTAGTATTCATGTTAATATAGCACATTTATCCTTTGGTATCTGCTTGGCCATAGAGCATGATTCTGTGGGAGGCTGACAGAGAGGAGTTGGGCTCTTAACTTGGGCACTTCTGGCAGACGATGGGGGCCACCTACAGCCAGCATCCACAGGTAGCGTCCCGTTGGCCTGGTGCTTCTCAAGGCCCACTGACTACCCAGGCTGCCCTGGTGGAACCACTCTACCACTCTGGAGGGGAGATGGTCCCCAACTCCTGGGCTTCCTTCTGCATCCACACATTTCTCTTTCTCATGAAACGAAGACCAAAGGAAAACCAAGGCACAGAGGTCCAACCTCTTCTAATTCAGGTGCCAAGCTCAGCAGGGGACCGTTTCTCAGCTCTATGCCTTTATTTCAACTGAAGGGGAATGGGAAGGACAGCAGAGTGAGGGGAGGTTTCTGTCTTTATTTCAGATGGAGAGGAGTATCTGTCAGTCCCCTCACCCCACCCCCCTTTGGACACACACATGTGCCACTTTCCTGCCCTTCCTTTCCCAGTGTCTCTCCCCTCCCTTCTTCAAGGCTCCACTCTGGAGAGATCTGGGAGGCATGGGAATTCCTTGTTGACACTTCTCCCATCTCCTGAGAAAGAGGAAATGGTGTTTGAGCCTCTCCCCACAGATGAGAGGACAGATGGGGAACACTTTCTCTGGGGCTGTCCCTCTGCCCCTGCTGCCTGGACCTGTTGACCTCTCACAGTCTCTGGGGGCTTGGGGAACTCTCCTGCCTCAGCCTGGAGAACATTTAAAGTGGAGAGCAGAGCCTTGTCATGGCAGTCTCGCCGGCAAGAAGCCCTAGAGGCCCCACTGGCCTGGCCTGCCTTTCCCCACACTCAGTCTGGATCACAGAAATGCTCAGACAGGAAAAGCCATGCCCTATGCCCCATGCCCAGAAAACCTGCCCCTGGCACCTGAGGGTTCAGTCTTGTACGGGGAACACTGCTGCCATAGCAGGGCCTGGCCCCAGTTTGAAGAGTGGTGAGAGGTTGCCCTGCGTCACCCCATTCCCATTGGTCTCCTCTGTTCCAGGAGCAGACGTTTGTTTACGTGTTAGCTGATTAGCAGAGCCATGTTGGGGAAACAGACTTATTTTCCCTGTGAGATGCTAACTAGCCTCTGTACAGATTCAGACTTATTCTCTAATTTGTCCATCCATCCATGCCTCTATCCATCCATTTTTCCGTTCAGAAGACCCTGAGAATCTCCTGCAGAAAAGACCTTAAGATGAGACTCAGACATCCATTGAGCTATCCACAGATGATAGATGCCATCTGTGCAGGTGGGGACAGTTCTAGGTGGATTAAATCAAATCAAGTTCCAGCTCTCAAAGAGCTCACAGCCTAGTTGGAGAAGTGAGACATTTATACAAACATTATACATACAATGAGGGACTATGACAGGAGCTGGGATGGGGGCGGCAGTCAAAGTGGGGACTCATGAGAGTCAAAAATGGCTTCCAATGGGGGGGTGGGGTGGAAGGCGGTCAGAGAAAGCTGAGGGTGGGGGTGGGGCTCTTGAACCAAAATCAGAAACTCCTGGGGTCTGCCTCTCGGGCCCATCATCTCCCTTCTCTAATGCAAGGAAGACAGGGTTTTTGTACAAAAATAAACACATAGCATTCCCAGCCCACAAAATCATGACAGACTCAGAAAAATTGATGTATTTGAGGAAAAGCATGATGAGAATTTTGTCTCTGGGGACTGTGCTGGCTTTCCACAGGCCGTTTCAAGTGAAAATTTTATCAGTATCTTTTAAGTTGAAATTTTCAGTGCTTGGAGGGACAGAAAAATGGTAATAGGGAATGTCAGTAATCCTAGTTGGAGCCGTGAGGGAAACAGGAGGAAGTAAGGATGCAGCTCTCCCCACCACCTCCCTGTGGAGGCGGTTAGTGTTCCCCACACTGTGGTTCTTGGGTCCTCTAGGCACAGGAAGGACCAAACGTTCTACCCTTTTGAAGTTAGGCTTTGGCTGGCGCCTTATGGTGGTTAGCAACATGACCCTTCTGGGCAGAAACAAGCATGCAGTTTGCCACATTCTGCTTCTCTTGCCTGGCCAGGAATGCATGTGGGAGCCTTGGTGAGCCCAGGTCCCTGGGTCTCTCTAAAATCCCTTACCAGTCTGCACTGGACAGGTGGCATGAGCAAGATACAAACTCTAGTCATTTTAATTTCAAGCCACTGACAGTCATAGGCTATTTCTCACCCAGCATCACCTAACTATCACAACCAAAATACCTGCTAAGTTCGTTCCATAGTTCCCCTTGAGTAAGTGTAAAGGCAAGTCTTCTAGGAGATTGAGCTTCTGCTTTCTCAAGAACCAAGGTCACCTGAAGCTGAAGGCAAAGGTGGTTGGCACAAAGTCCTTTAGTGTCTGAGCCATTTGCTGTAATGTCCCAGACTCAGTCCTTCAATGTCACTTTTTAAGCTGAAGAACTTCGCACTAATGGAGGCAAATACTCATAGGACCTGTCTTATTTCTGTGATTATATAGACACTGAGGATTGACCGGGTGTTTGTCTACCTTGAGTTAGACAGAGAATGCACAGCTTGGAAAGAGAAGAACTATAGTTCTCAGACTCCCTTGCAACCAGGTTCACATCCTTAAAATCACATCCTTGTGATTCTAAGTCCTGCCAACCAGATATACTCAAGGGAGAGTTTGCTGAAGTGGATCATGCCAGAGGTGGACCCAGCAGCTAATACAGAAGCTTCCTGACTTTACAGCTTCCTTTTCATGCTCAAGAAGCTAGAAGACTTGCTTGTGATGTCAGATGAAACAGTGGCCTGCAATAGAGACAGGGATGTAAATGATCATATGCCACCTAACTACTAGGATGCCTGAGCACTGCTGAGATGTGCAGAGGACCAGGCTGCAGCAGGGGAGGCTTCCTGGAGGGGGGTGTGTGTTACCCAACCTTAAAGGGTTAGAAATTTCAGTCCTTCCTGTGCCTAGAGTACCCAAGAACCACAGTGTGTGTGCGTGTGTGTGTGTGTGTGTTGGGAGGACACCTTGAAGTGGTTCCTGCTGGATAAGTGAGCAAGAGAGGGGATAACAGGGCTTTCTAGAAAGAATAATGACTGGGGAATTTTCAAAGTAATAATCCCTTTTTAAGAATCTAGGGGGTGTGAATGTATGCACTCCAAACACTTATGACTATTAAATAAGGAAATGTTTAAAAAAAAAAAATAACAGTTCTAGCTCCTCCCCTAGAATTTCATGGGTAGAGTTTCCCCTCCCCAGGGAAGTGTACATGCATATCAGCATGTACGCACATCATTACCCAAAGAAGACACAGGAAGTGCAGGGCCTGGAGCCACCTGAAGTCCAGCATCAAAATTAACCATGCAGCCTCTCTGTGCCCCCATTCACTTCCCCCCTAAGTAGGGATCATTTTAATTATTTGTTGATATCATGAGAACACAAAGGAAGTTCACCAGTAACATGAACACTATATATGTAAGCTGTGTTGGCTTATGCTGGAAGAGGCACAGTTCATGCCTCACAGAAGAGGCAAGACTCCTATGTACGAGGGGGAAGGAGAGCAACCAAGCCCAAAAGGCACAGAGAGAAAGGAGAATGGACAAGGGGGTGTGGAGGAGCTGGCAAGTGCAAGGCTTGCAGTGCTTGAATACCTGAAAGGTGCCCTGGGCCTGGAGACTACCTGTAGGGACCCATAGGCCCTAGACCCTGGCCCCTGCCACTGGCCCTGCAGAGCCCTGCATCCCTGCCTGACCTCCTGGCCACCACAATCTGGTGCTGACAGAGGGCTGTGAACAGCCAAGGTGCACTCACTGGTGGGCTGAAAGGGCAGCCTGACAGCCTGGCTCCAACACAGACCACCTATGGATGTCATAGGTCAGAGAGCTCAGAGCAGATCCTCCAGGGTATTGCACACACCACCCAAATGTCAAATATTTATCCTCATTCACAAAATCCCAGAATCACAGCATTGGGTAAGGTGAAGTCTCCTTTCCTGCCAGCCAGTGTTTTTTTAAATATCACCTCTTAATGTTGGTTTGAGATCAGGAGCTAAGAGAGAAGGAAATACCAGGTTAGAGTAGAGAGGAGATGACCCTCATTGTTTCCCAGCCCCACTGTGGGATGGGCCCAGGATTTGGTGCACCTTCAAAAGAATCTCAGACATGCTGGTGTAATGATGCTGCTGGTGAAATCTGACTTTAGTCCAGGGCTCCTTTTTCACAGCCCACTTCCTCTCTTCTCTTTCTCCTGCTCTCCTTCTGACCCCATCCAGGTTGCCAGAGGACCACTGCTTCCCAGCTGGGCATTCTGCCTTCTCCAACACACACACACCCTTACCCCCAACAGCCGTGTCTGTTCCCTCTCCCAGGGCTGGGTCCATGGGGACCAATGGCTGGTTGGAGGAACCAAGAGTCTGCACCTGTGACCATGGGGCTAGGTGCTGTGGCTGTGACTCTGGTCACAGGCATGAATCTAGCAGCATGGCTCAGTGGTAGAGGTCCTGTCAATCCAGAGAAGAAGAAGGCAGGAGATTCAGGGTTGGGTGGGTACTGGGACACACCACCATACAGGCACCTGCTCCTATGGAGGCTTCCCCTCTGGATCTTATCTGCTTGCTAAATGTGTCTACAGCTTTCTCAACAGCACACAGTAATTCCCCTCATTCCAGAAAGTTCTACCCCTCAGGAATAGGCCCTGGCATGAAAATACAAAACTCCAAAGAAGTCAGAGGGTGCTTCTTGCCCCAAACAGAATAACTGTCCAGGCCCCAGAGCAGATGTAGCTTGTCCTCTTGATCTCTTGGTACATCCAGGGGCCACGGGAAGTGAAGCCTGAGATAATAGCAGCCCTGACCTCTGCAGCGACATTTCCTGGAACTTCTTGAGATGAAGAGAAAACAAGCAAACTGACTCCAAGCTGCCGCACTTGGTCAGA